TTGAGGGAATACGCAGGTTTCATGAGCAAGATGCTGAGATTAAGAAAGAGTTTTACTCTCGTGATCAGGTCAAAAAGGTGAAATATGCTAGCAATATTGACTTGTACCGGTCGAGTTCTGCTAATTGGAGGGATACATTAACTATATCTCTAATGGTTTCAGATCGTGTTGAACCTGATGAATTGCCAGCAGTTTGCAGGTAGGTAATGTTTGAAAGTATAATAAACAGAAATTTACGTCATTTTTCTTCTTAAATAATGCCGAGTATTACTGCTCAATCCTCCATGCCAAACATGCCATAAGGTCATGAATATTTTCATTTCCACATTATGTACATTGTTTCTGTGTATTATATAAGAATTTGATGAATCATTGTTTCTCCGGTGGTTGTTTCTAACTTTAAAACAAAAAGATAAGAAGAAAAACCAGTGATTTTACCTCCTAGCAGAAAATATTGTAAGAATGATATTGAGTACTAAAATTTGAAGTCAGCTCCAAATAATTAACTGAATCCCATATTTATCTTTGACTAGCAGAAGTTCAACAATGGAGTACATTGATCAAGTAACAAAGTTAGGAGAACTTTTGTTCAAGTTATTAGCAGAAGCTCTTGGCCTAAAACGAGAACACCTGGTCGAGATGGGATGCGCCAAAGGACGCGCTTTTGTTTGTCACTATTATCCAGCGTGCCCACAGCCGGAGCTGACTCTGGGAACCAGCAAGCACACAGATCCTTGTTTCTTAACTGTTCTTCTACAAGATCAAATTGGTGGCCTTCAAGTTCTGAACAACAATCAATGGATTAATGTTCAGCCCCTGGCTGGTAGTTTAGTAGTAAATATTGGAGACCTCTTCCAGGTTAACCTGCTTTCATCATGATTTATTAACATGTAATTTTTAGGTTCGTCGAACTGGTTTCCGGAAGGTTTTATAACACTTTCTCATGATCCGGCCTTGATATGTTTCAGATTATATCGAATGACGAGTTCAAAAGTGCTGAGCATAGAGTAGTAGCCAACCAGGTAGGACCAAGAATTTCGACAGCCTGCTTCTTCACTGGTGTTGTAGTGCCTCCAAAGATGTATGGTCCAATCGAAGAGCTGATAACAGAAGAAAACCCCCCAATATATGAAACGTTTACATTAAGTAATTATATAAGCAAGTTTTTCTCAAAAGCACTTGACAAATCCAGCCTTGATGATTTCAAGTTGCAAGTCTAGCACAGAAGCAACACCATCTTATAATAAGAAGTTCAATAAAGCTTTGGAATATTTATGTAAAGAGGAATGATTTTCATCCTCATTGGAGTTACAAACATAGTTTAGGTGTCTCTAAATGAGAGGTTAAATGAGAGGTGAAATTCAATTTAGGTGGCGTTAATGTGGCATTAAATGATATGTGAAATTAAATAAGTCATTTAATTTCACATTTCATTTAACCTCTCATTTAGAGTCACCTAAACTGTGTTTGTAACCCCACTGAGATGAATAACATTTCTCTTATGTAAAACATGTGTTCTCTAAGACAAAGAATAACATACCGTTTGCATCTTTTCATTAATTTCTTTTAAGTATTTTGTGCCAAGAATTTGAAGTTGGAATGATTAAATATTTGTACTTATATCTTCAACCAAGCAATACATTTGTTGTGATCAATTGCTAGCACTATCACTAAATAAGGTATAAGACGAACACCTGTGCTGCTCTGGACCATTGATCTTCAGCAGAATCTACGGTGATGGATTTGTGTGTTTAAGGGGCTTGAACGGTCGCTCTTTTCACATTATTATTAACAATTTAAGATTGTCGGAGTACAGCCCCTAGGGCACATCTCCAAATAGTAAAAGGGGAAGGTGGAAAAACTCCAGCTTTGCTTGAGACTGCCGTGTCAAGGATTTGATTCCTGAAATATGGATTTGGCCTTTGGGTAAGTACAAGTATACAAGCAGCCTTCCACCCTGTACCCTTGGAGGCATAACCTGCGATTTACCTCCTTCACCAAGGTTCAGGGCAGGGCAGGTGGGGACTGCCAAGGATGCGGTTCATCATTTTAAGATTGCCGGAGTACAGTAACAAAAACTGAAAACAAAACTCCAATTACTTAAATTGGAAAAAATTAACTTAATTACAGGGAACTATTTCTTAAAATTAAGTGATAACTTCGCAACCGACAATGCTTTGATCCTTTAAAGTTGACACTATCGTTAGTTTTCCTCGTGTAGAGACAGAGTGAATGGAAAAATTCCCACAAGTTCTGATAAGTTATAATAAACTGATTTTATTCTTAATGTTAGAATTTCATTTATTTTCATACAGATTAAGAAAATCTAATCAACATAGTTGGAAATATAAATTTTACTTACATTTTTTCTAATATTCTCCTATATAAAATAATGATTTAAATAAGAGTAGTTCATATTTATTGATAACAACGTACCTTATCGAGGAGATACATATTAAAAAACTAAAAAATCATTATACTTTGAACAAGGAAAGTGACCTATAATTTGGGATAAACGAAAAAAAAAAAAGCGAGCCTATCTCTTTGGGACTGGGAAGTATACCGAATCTCAATCAAAGTAACTCTACAGGCAATTTCACCCCAAAAGGTGACTACTACAACTAAGATCAATGTTCCTTTAAGACTAACACTACCACTTGAGCTAGTTCTTGACTATTCATTTACAGTGATGAAGCCATGCGATCTTTGTTATGGAGTCAAAATTAAGTTACAATTTTTTTTTTCCCAAACATCTTTTTCTCTTGAACACTCGTTTTACCAATAATTTACTCTTCAATTCAAAATGTAGATTTTCGTTTATAATATGTTTTCATTATTGTTTGGAATGAAATTTAACAAATAAATAAATGCTTATACATTACAGATAATAATTCCACCTATAAAAACACAATACTTTTCAATAGGTAAATAACAAAGTCTCACTATTTCATTAAGTCCTCGTTTGGTCCTTATTATTTTTAAAATACATTTTTCTTTCCTATTTTCAACCACATATTCTTCAATAAAATAATATTACACGCAAACCCAAAAAAAAATTTCTTATTTTTTAACCACACATTCTCCATCAAATCAGTATTTAAAAATGCATTTTTTGCAAAAAAAAAAATGTGGCTCAAACATGCTCCAATAGAAAACAACATATTCTATGAAAACAAAAATTATCAATGAATTTCAATATTTCATAAGATCCAAAACCATAAAGTTAGGATAAGTTATTGATTACCTTAGAATTAGATCGAAGTCGAAACTTGACATTGGCACAAATGTCTTCAAGAAAAACAATATACTAAAATTACATATTTACATTATGAATTTCATTGTTAACAGATAAACATATATCTATATAGAAAACTAATTGAAGACCTAATAATACACGAAAATTATAGAGTATAACCTTAGTTTATTGAGTAGAAAGCAAGAATATAATTTTCTAACGAAAAAAGTCGGCTCAAAAACTCAATAATGCAGAAACTCGAGCACATACCTCAAGAAAATTGATAAAAATAGAGAACTCTAAGGACCAAGTCCATAATAAAAAATTAATCATTAGTTGGCTTGATAACTTAATTAAAAAAAAAAATTGCCAATTAACAGTTGTTGGGTCCATAAAAG